TACACAATTAATTTTCTCATGGGTGGTGCGTGCGTTCACACATTACACCAATAAATTGTTAGTACATTTACGAAGTTTACGTATTGTTTCAGATAAAATATAGTACCTAATGTATTATTAATTTCTACGCATTGTAAACTGAAAAATATCTATTTTTAAATCTCAAAGTGTAGGGAAGCGGTGCTTCCGCCGCTTCCATAGACCGCACGCCCCTGCTTATTACTTCGAACATAAAAAATTGTGAAATATTCTTACATTATATCAAGGTCAAAACATTGATCTTAGTTTAAACCTCAGAGTAAGTAAGTAGTAAAGAGAGGACAGTAAACAATGTTTGTGTCGCCATGATAATATGGTCGAGAATTCTAATTAGAGAGAAATAGATTGATATCTCTATCTCTTTGTATTTGTCAGTTTTACAAAGCTTTTCTCAGACAATTATTCCAGTGTTTAATTTAAATTTGTTCGTGTTGTGGTGTTAAAAGTAATTGTTATTAATATTATATTCATAACAAAAAAGTCATATTTTGTTTTCACTTCATTAAAAATGCACCTACCTACCTACCTTTTAAAACATTTTATTTTATATTCTATTTGGTCAACATTTTCGCATTTAAAATGACCCAGCGAAATTGTTTTACGGTACGCTACTGCTGAGAATTCTAAAACGAGTGAGAAAGCCTTCATTAGAAAGAGAGATACTGATTATATGATAGCGAGATTAATATCGTATAACTTTATGCAGTGGTGGCCTATCTGCTATTATATTATCTAAGGTTTAAACGCCCAAGTTTGACAATTCAATTTTTCGGATAATTTAAATTAATTTCAGACGTGAGCTACATTTGAAATACACCATTTTTCAATTATGCCCAGTTCATTTACTGAACACAGTTTAAACTTTGATTGAAAAACTGGCCCTTGGAGAGTCAAACCAATTTTAATGGTACTATTTTTTCAGATTCTTCGACCTTTTCCGGCTTCAGAGTGTTTAGTAGTGTCTTTTATTTATTTATTTTTTTTTTCATACCTGCCCGAACATTTGAATATATCAGCGTTTTACAAGGTTTTAATAGGACATGTTTATAATAATAAAAAAAACTATAATACAGAACATTTTAATGCCTGCTCAGTACAGTTCCCTTTTGTTTCAATGTTCAAAAATACAACTAAAAAGTACATGCTGAAAGTTTTTAAGGGTTAAAATATTGCAATTTCATCACAGTTAAAAAACGGCGAAAAAATATTTGAATAACGACACAATTTGTGTATTAAATAATTTTTTTAAACAAAATTTAATATTCGTTATGAAATAAAAAATATATATTTATTTGGTAGATCAAATAAATTGATTCTTATTGAATCATTTTACCCCATTTATACCAAGGTATTAATATACAAACTACATTAATACAATGAAAAAGAATGCATTTAAACATAATTACTCTACTAAATATCTATTTTGCACGAACGTCAAACATTTCCGGAAGGCTAGCTTTGCATAGTCCACACTTTCATACAATAAATACACTATTTTATACATGGTGTTTCAGAATTCGACGAACAAACGCTTAGTTATCATGAGATACAAGCAAAGTAAAAACAAAAAAAAATATTTTTATGAAAGTGGACAGTTTTAAATGAAACTTAACGACCATGTAATAATTCAAATAGGCTTCTTTCTATGCATATTCACTGTTTTAATAAGCTATACCGGTGGGGTTACGGTAAGATAATAGTTAATATTGCCCTTTCGAATTTTTTGAAAAATATATTAACAACTTTTTTTTTTTTCGAAAACTTGATGAGAAATCATTTTCCACATAAAATTAAACGAGGAATTAAAAAAAAAAGTATTGTCAATTTGTTGTCAGTGGTGCAAAAAAAGTATGCGTTAAAATTTTAACTATTACCGTATTGGAACGCCACTGGCATACCCAACTGAAAAAAAAAAGCTTATTTTAGCCATGCACGTTAGGTAAAGTGTTAATTAAAAATTTTAACTTTTACGGAATCTAATTGGTTTGTACATGGATTTCTGAGTCACCCTATACAGGGGGAAGACAATCTAAATTCACACTATTGCGATTTCGTAAGACACTGGAGATACAAAGTTGTTTAAATGGGAAAAATTTCTAAATTGTGAGACCAAGGTATTCAAGATGTCAGATTCGGTTTTTAAAATATTTGAGAAAAATAAACAGGTACGATTTTCTATTTTTGTCTCTGGTGCCTTTATTTTCAAAAATAACAAAAAATTGAAATAAAGTTTTTATTTGACTTCGCATCGAGCTTACGTTGCTGCAGGCAAATTTTCAATCCAACTTTTCGTGTCTAAATCAAGAATATGTTTTAAATACATACCAGTATTTTTTATTTTATTTTCTGAGAGTATTCCTAAATCGTAATACTGTCATGTAATCGACATAACATTTTTAGACGTTTCGATACTACAAACATGAGTAGGAAACATGGTCGCCGCGACACGAGGGCAAGGGGGGCGTCTTCCCCAGCATTTGTTTTTTTTTTTATTTTTTTTTGCCATGGCTTTTGACTATGGCTTGCGGCGTTTTGACTCTTGCCTATAAAACTTGCCCACTGGACATTTTTTGAACGACACCCATGGTAGGAAAACCGCTTTAGTTTTATATTTTTAAATGTTTTTAATATTACTGCAATTACGTTTTTTGTATTTACCCGTTAACTTTCTTTTTTATATGGGTTTTATTTTATAATACCGGGTGTCCGCAATAAAATTTCGGATGAGGTAAAATTTAAGATGAAATCTTGAAATTTTGGAATATGAAACTATCAAGAAGTAACCTATGTAACTTATTTTTTTATGGATATACTCAAAAAAGTGCTCTTTCATAATATACAGTGTGTTCCATAAAGTTTGATCGATATGGGATTTTTTTAATATTTTAGTTGGAAAAAAACGTCGTAGGGTATTCAGTTCTACCTTTTTATTAACTTAAAATAGCCCATATTAAAGCTGGCTAGGTATGACATTAGTTATATGTCAAATTCAATTTTTTTTTTTTAGAAACTAAAATAACAAAAAACTAATGTCAGTAGCTAAATTTGATATGGGCTGTTTCGAGTTTTTAAATAAGCAGAGGTGATTGCCCTATGACGTTTTTTCCAATCGTAATATTAAAAAAAATTCTCATCTGGATTCACCTTTATGGCACACACTGTATAATAAGAATACTCTTCCTAATTCACCCTTACGAGTGATTTTCAACCCTTGGCCGTGGAGCTGCGGGGCGACTTAAAGATAATTGATGGTGACATTTGACTAGTAGATAAGGAAAACCCGAAAAATGTCACCCACTATCATAAAACCTCACCCACGAGACGCAAAACGATGGATTTAAACTTTATTTATAACCAAATACAAAACCTTCATACCATCTTTTGCCATTTTTGAAAATATCAAAACATTACGTTAATACTATTTATTAATAAAATATAAATAAACAGATCCGCACTCAAAATTTTCCTGATAATTTTATACTATCTAAACGTCTAAAAATGTTAATGCAAATTATATGGTTGTATTAATAACTAGGAGCAGTTTCAAAAAATTAAATAAAAATTCGGGTCCGTATTAAAAAAAAAGATATCCTTCATGGTGGTCCTTCAGACACGAAACGTTGGATTGAAAATTTACTTACCAAAACGTAAGTAAAATGAAAACGGTTTTACCATCTTTTGCTATTTTTAAAAATAAAGACACCATAGTAAATTAAAAACTCGACTTATTTAGTTTTCCTCAAATATCTTGAATTTTAAAACATCAGTAAAGTGGTCTCATAATTTGGAAACATTTTTTCATTTAACTGGATCATTTTTGTATCTCTAATAATATGAATTTAAATTATTTACACTCTGTATACAATGCTTAATTGCTCGATATTTCAATTTGTGTTATAGACACGCAAACAAGTTTCAAATAAAAGTTATATAAATTTGAAAAAGGCATGCTTTAAAAATATTTTTTGGATATACAGGGTGTTACGTTTTTCGCTAGCAAATGAAAATGTATATTTTTAAATAGAACAGGTTGTATTTTATTTCAGTTTTAGAATGATCAGGTAATACTGTATTTAACCCTAGAATATTTTTGAAAACTATTACAGGTTTGCCAAGCAATTTTTTTTTAAATTAGAGAATGCAGACCGCAAATAAATTATCATAATTTAGGTAGGTTTACATTGATTTCAAAATTGTTTCGAATATAGACCTAATATATCAACATAATGAATAGCAATGACAGAACTGGTTGTTTTATACATAATGTTTTGAAACGTGTCATAAATTTGGCTCATTTAAAGTTCAAATTACTCAATTTTTTCAAATGCAACACCATTTTTATTAATAAATCTGTTATCTGCATATCCAACGATACTAACATGTTGCCTATTATACTCACTGATTTTATTATTAAAGATGCGAAGAAATGTTTAATACAAAAGTTGTACGACCATATTTTACAATAGAGGACCTTAGTGCAAGAAGAGGACAAGTTAATATTTTTTTCAAAATGGAGATACGTGTTGCATGAGCTTCTACAAAGCATAAGCTGTCATCAGGTGTAAGAACAGGACGAGTATTTTCATAAACAAAGAAGTGATAAACACTTTTAACTCGTCCCTTTCAAAAATAGGCGGGTCTATGCATGTTGATTGACCCTCTACAACTGCAAATGGTAAACAAACGACGTACCATTTTTAGCAGTTAGGTTTTATGTTTATGCAAATAATACAAGATGTATTATATAAAAAGAAAATAGAAAAACAATATTATTTAAATTTCTTTTTTCGCCTTTTGATTTTTTTTTAAATTGACTCATCGCACAAAGGTCCTCGATTATTCTTAAATGTACAGGGTTGTCCATAAATAAGGGGTGGAGTACTTATTCTTTTTTAAATCAAACACCCCGTAGGTAGTTATGCATAACAAATTTGTGTGTTTTTACATCGTCAAACAATTTTAATAAACAACGATTTACATTTTCATTCATTTTCTATGTAGTATATAGGGTGTCATAATGCGATATTACGATTTTCTTAATTTTCCCAAATCTATCTATGTATATCATTTAAATTATTTAATTTTATTTTTGGCATCTTTTATAACAAAAAAAATTAGTATTTGTTTTTTATTTTATTTACAATGGTTTATATTACTTTTGACGTCGGGGGAATAGAAAATCATCATATCTGACAAATGAGTTAATAAAAATTAAATTAGTATTGTATCTTAAATAAGTCCATATTTTCAAAAGTCGATTAGAAGAATGTGAAAAAATTATGTCAATTTTCATGATAAAACCAACGAAATCTGAAGAAAAATAATAAAAAAAATATTTATTGCACTTGAAAAAGTCGAGTATATCGTAACATCCTGTATACATCACAGCAAATGAAAGAAAATTCAAATATTTGTAGTATATTAAACATTTGTAACTCCGTAACTACCTTTGGTTTAAAAAAGTATAAGTTGCTTCACTACCCATTTATGGATTACCCTGTATATTTAAGAATAATTTTGTAAAATATGATCGTACAACTTTAGTATTAAAAATGTCTTCGTATCTCCAATAATAAAACAGCCATCGATCAATTATAAACTGATGGGTATATGTACAATAGGCTAACATATTGCTATCGTCAGATAATAATATATAGTTTTTCATTTGTAAAAATTGAATAAATTGAACTTTCACTCCGTACAAAATGAAGAAGTTCTATCAGCACTATTCGTATCTTGGTATCTTAGAGTCTGTATTTTAAGCAATTTTGAAATCATTGCTAACCTACCTAAATTATGATAATTTTATTTGCGGTCTGCATCAGACTCTAATTTAACAAAAAAAAATTAATTGCTTGACTACCCTGCAATATTTTTCAAAAATATTAAAAGGACGAATACGGTATTACCAGATCATTCTAAAAATAAAATAAAAGGCGTTCCATTTAAAAATATATATCATTATTTGTCAGGCAAAAGCGTAACACCCTGTATATCCAAAAATATTTTTAAATCCATACAACTTGTATTTAACTTCCTTGAAATATCGAGTAATTAAGCACTATATTATGTCTATAAATCTTCATAGGTATAATCAATCAAAATACAATTAATAAAGTTGTTTTATTTGAAAATAATCACAACACATAATTCGGGAGGAAATAAGTTTTAAATAAAAAAATATTTTTGATTAATAATTGTTATACCTATCAAGATTTTTGATACCTACGGTCAGGAAATAATATAAACTTTTTATTTTAAATGACACTTTTCACTCCTGCCTCAAAAAGATCTGTCTGTCCCAAATTTTCTCTTTTTGGAGTTCTTCAACTGCGCGTGACGCCTCATCAGGTTCGAAAAATATGATTTTGGCCTCATCGCTTGGAGTGTTATTTGGATTGTAACGGCGACTCACGTTATTCGTGTGATTAAATCCATCGAAAAAATTTAGAATATCATTTGTGTTCGCTTTGTACGGAACATTTTTCATAAATATCGTGCAACCCGGGGGTACGTCTTCGAAAACGTCCTTTGGTGGGCCGAATCTAGATCTCGGCGGCCCCCCTCCGAAGCCGCGTGGTCCGAATCTTGGACCGCCTCTCATATTATCGAAATTGCGAGATGGGAACACCGGTCTACTATTGTTTTGCATGTTAAATGCGGGTAGGTTTGATGAAGCTCCGGATGAAGGTCTTGTAAACGTTGTCGGTTCATTTTCTTTGATTAGCGAATCTTGTGGATTCGTGGGTTCGGGCGCCGGTAAAGTAGTACCCAGAATAGTCTCCATTTCTCCTCTTTTAATTGGAAGAACGGATATAACTACATTTCCAAGCGAAGTCTCATTTTTTCTTGCTGCTCGGGTCGCTTCTTCGTAATTGGCAAACTCGCAATACGCTTGTCCGGTAAATCCGAGGTTGTTGCTCATAAGATGAATTTTTGTTGGTATAACTCCGATGTCCGAGAAAAAGTCTGCAATGTCTTTATCATTGGTTTTTTCCGGTAATTCAGATACACTTAAACAATCAGTCTCTAGAGTTTCTTCTTTGGTAGTATTCAAATTAACTTCGTGCATTTTATTAATATCGTCGAACTCGTCATCCTTGCACGGTCTAACAGTTACTTGTTTTCCGCCGACTATATGATGAGCTTTTTCATCGAGAGCTTGTTTGGCAACATCCGAACTACTAAATTTTACATATGCGATAAAACCCCCTCTCTTTTTGTTAGTCAAAATTAAAGCGACCAACGGATGTTGAGAGAACATGTGAAGAATGTCCTGTTCCTTACAATAAGTCGGTAAATCATCGACGGTGAGGCAAGAAAATGGTTTAAGATCCGAGCTATGCGAAGAATGGTTAAAATATTTTGTAATATTTCTACTTTTAAATGAGGAATTATCGTCATGCATATCACTGTCATTATTCCTAGGGTTATACCTGTCTGTCGCTTCTTCAAACTCATCGTCATTGATATGTGAAATAGTTACTCGTATTCCATTTAGTAATTCACCATCGTTCCTTAAAGCGTCTTCCTTGAATTTCCTATTGGAGAATCTTACGTAGACCACACCAGTAGCGCGACCGCTGAGATCATTAATGAATTTAATGCCATTGCCACTGATAAACTTCCCATGGAAGAATCTTCGTACGTCTCCGTAACCACCGTAAAAGGGTTCAAGAGCTATGCTACAATTTTCAATTTCTTGTGGGTTATTTGCGCCTCTGTTTGGAATATTGCTTTGAAATCGGTTGTTTTGGAATTTATCCGGAATTTCCCTATCTCTGAAATTTGTGTTTCTGTTATTTTGAAAATTACTCTCGTTATTACTAGGGGGCCAACTGTCTCTAGAATTTCTGTTACTATTATTACTGGTAAAGGGGGAACTAGAACCACCATTACCATGTAAGTGCGAGCCTACATTGAAATGATCAAGACTTCTATTCGCTTGATTTTGTGCAATAGGAAAATTTCCTAATATATTTAATGGTTGTTGAGGTTTTGGTGGTACAACATCTATTGATCTCTGTTTAGCCCATATTTCAGGTACAGTTTTTTTAATTTCCCTTTGGAATGGATTAATAATGGGTTCATCTATACGCTTCCTATGGTCTTTACTACTTTTACGTTCTTTAGATCTTGAACGACCCCTACTTCTGCTTCTTTCTCTACGACGAGATTTCCTCTCTCTAGATCTTGATCTGCTTCTTCGGTGCCTTTTCTCTCTTCTGTCCCTCGATCTGTCTCTCCTTTCTCTTGATTTTGATCGCGATTTTCGACGGCTGTCTCTCTTTTCGCTCTTGTCTCTGTCTTTGGATTCTTTTCTTAATTCAGGCGCAGTTGGAATTATTGTCGGTACTGCTGCAGGCATGGGAACTGCAGTCGGTGTAGGGTTTTGGATGAAAGCCGCGTATGATTGTGTTCTGGCTTGTTGGATGACGCGCTGCATTTCCGTGCGGGAACTGAGCATAAGGTTAATTTGCACTTCTTTGATTTTTCCATTGTTTCTGTTAAACGCTTGACGAGCGTCTTCGTCAGTACTATAAAAAAAATACACATATTATAATATTTTTCTAGGAGAATTTAAATTAATATAAAAATTTTGTTTCGCCGTTTTAATACGATATGAATTGTTGTTTATACCCAAATTACAAAGTAGGCAAATTAAAAAATAGCGATTATAAATGTTTTCCAGCAAAAAATCATTGCAGTAGCTTTTTTTTAATTCTAAATGAGTAAACTTTTTTAGGTAGGTAAAAGTAGAACCAGAGATATTCTAAGGTCATAAATCAGTATTAGCCGACGACCCTTATTATAACCTATTGTTCGAGATGTAGATAAGCAATAAAATTGTGTGTTCCTTAAAAGATTACCAGGTCCGGATTAAAATATCTTATGAAATGGTATTTTGTAAAGTATTTAAATAAGTAATATGGTAAATTATTTTGCTTAAGATAACGAGTCGTATAATTTCAGACAGATTAGAGAAAGTTAAACAAATAATGGGGGATTAAGAGTATCTAGGTGCCCATTTTGAGAATTGATCGCTTTTTCCGATTTTAGAAACGCTAGGGTAGGTACGTCTGCCTAGAGACCACCGCCTGTTGATAACTAAAGTGGTTGGTGTTTTATGTCCTTACAATATTTTTGGTTCTGCTTTACCTACAAATTATATAGTCGCTCATTTGACTGCAAAAAGCGACACGTCGTATTTTTTGCTATTGCAAAAAAGAATTTTTTTGTTTTTTCTTGCTGAAAATCCCTTTGCAAGGCATTTTCGGTCGTCCGGTTTTGCTACTTCCGGTGCAGGGATTTCGGCCACGTGACCGGATATTTTTTTTCAACGAAATTCGGGATATAGCTTAAACGCGATTTTTCTGAACTAAGATGCGAAAGGGATGATATGGAAAAAAATTGTAAAATTGAAATAGGTGTGAAATCAGAACCAAAATTCGAAAAGTGATTTAATATTCCTTTAATAGCTATTTATGAAACCAGTTGCGAAATGTCCTATTAGATGTATGAATATTTTCGGGACGAGCATATCGAGGTCCCGCAACATAAACAAGTTATATAAAACGGCATTTCATAACGTGTTACATACAATTTTTTTCTATTTATTTTATTGTGTTTTGGTAAAAATTACCGATATCTAGGCAACCAATATTACTTATACCTTTCTTGTATTGTTAGTTGCATATGATTAACTTCATTTTTTTAATGATAAATTGAAAATAATATTAATTTATTCTTAACGAGTTGTTGTAGTGTTTGTATTGTTTGTTAAAGTTATTTAGATTTCAAGAAAATGGATTATTTTGTCGTGTATCGTTTTAAAAAAGGATTATTTTTATTTTTCTTTTCGCAACTGCGGTGAATTTTTTGAAAACAGTTTCATAATGTTCAACATTATGCAATTGGTTGCGAAAGTAGATCATTTTCACACTTGCTGCGATTTCAAAAAATGTTACTTTATATGTCAAAATAAGAAAAAAAAATTGGATGACTCTCAACTATGAAGACTAATGAAAAGGACAAATGGGCAAATTTCAATCTTTCTTTTTATAAAGTTTGTCGAATGTTAGGCACGTTAATTTTCTATGCAAGTCAATGTGAAATAAGGTGTTTTATTTAATAGGTGATAATAATCAAAATAATGTGAAAAAAGTACCTAACTCTAACTACAAGTAACATGAGTGACAAACAAACGTCAAAGCAAGATTTACTTTGTTCGAGGTTAAAAAACGGGATATAAATCAGATGTAAAACTAAAAAAAAGAAGAAATCAATTTAAAGTCTCTAACTCCTAGTGTAAGTAAAATAATTTATTTATTTCTAAATATAATATTTATTGTAAACCAGTCAAGTGTAGTTTATTTTATTACAAATTTCTATAATATAAAATATTACAATCATAAATCCTCACTTAAAAACAACAATAATTACACATTACATTTAACATACTAGAAAATAAAATTTGTTTTTTCAGAGTTTTAATGTTACTACATTCGATGTTACTACTAATATTCTCTTCTTGAACCCCAATTTTGTCACTGTAAATGTTTTTTATTGGATCCTAAATGTTTAGGACAGTGGCAGCATATCATTCCCAGGGCTGATAAAGCTCTTTCTAGAGATGTTACTGTTTATGCAAGATTTTCTGTGCTTTATTTTGTAATAAACAAGTTTATTTTTATTTTTACAAAATTATGTAAAATTCCCATAAGAAGCCATTTATTTTTAACATCCCTTGCAACACTAGCGCTGATGCGGTGAATTTAAAAAGCTTAATTAGCGTTCTCCTCTCTAGTCTTCATACTTTTAACTAAGAGTATTGTCTTTGTAAGCATTTTTACTTTCCTGTCTGTATACAGATAAGGAAAGTACAGGAATCATAATTTTTTTTCGACCTCGTGTTTTCGACGGATTTTTACGTTATGGGGTTCTCTGAATCCGTTTTGACCATTTTCGCGATGATGTTTCTGTGTGTGTTTGTATAATCGATAACTCATGGACGGATACAGAGAAAAACACCAAATTTTAAACTTAAGTTTTATCCCGGCCTGCGGCGAGCTGATAAGATTTTGGGCACAATCGGAACATCTGGGAGGGTCGTTTTTCCATTTTATGGAATATATTTATCGACTACGGTAGGGTAGGTGTCTACGGCACCGCATTTATTTGCGAGCCAGTTTTGTGCTAAACGAGTCACGGTTTTGAATCCTACGGAAGACCATGTGAATTTATTTGCATGGTTCTCTATAGGATTTGATGGATGCCGTATTAGCAGAAATTTAATTTCTGTTGATATGACATCCAGATTATTAAAAATCGCCGTGCGTTACCGTTTTCGATGATGGTCCGTATTCGAAAAAATTGACAAAAAGTAAAAAATTCAAATTTATAAGAACATTTTTCAAATAAAAGTTGTTTATGATGCTATTTTCTATATTTCTTGTCCTATACAGAATTTCTCTAAAGTGAATCGATATTAGTGATTGCCAGTGTTGGAAAAGTAAGTACCTACCTGCCTATTTGTTATATGCATATAGTTTTAAGCCGAGAAAGATTGAAATTATCGTCCCTACTTTATTTTCATTACCTATCTAATTCATTTAATTATTGCGGAGTTTTGATATCAAAATATTGTTTAAAAGTTTCTATAGAATTTACAGAAATATATTAAAATATAATAAATGAAATAATAATTTTATATCACATTAAAATAAGTTCAGCCGTTTTCATAAAACTCAATTATGGATCTTAGCGATTTATTGCTTTTAATAATTAGAAACAGTTTGCAGTCGGAACTTTGTTTATTTCATTATATTTATAATAATTGATTAATCATATTATGTTAAAATAGCCATATCCTGTTAAATTCGAATCGTCTTAAGATTACTAAAACTAAGTTTTTTTTTATTTATTTATTTACACATGTACAGGTAGGTAATTGATACAAAACATGGCCGAATCTAAGAAGTGTCGTCAGTACAGTGTTGAATATTTAAAATTTGGTTTTCTTCCATCAAAGGCAGTCAAACGATTGCCCACATGCCTTTCATGCAAGAAAGTTTTGAGCAAAGACTATGAAACCATCAAAGCTGGAAGCAAGATCATCTAAGAAGGTTTCATCCTGATAAAATAGGTAAAGATTTGAAATATTTCCAAACATTAAAGGAAAAATATGAAAAGAGACTAAGGTTCTAAAAACTATTCTGCACAAATCTCTATTTGACATACTCAAAATAATTCCTTTCAGTAACAACACTGTACAAAGACGTATTGATGAAATGAGATCTGATGTTGAAAGTTTCTTGTGTGATTATCTACGAACAACTCATTTTTCTATTCAACTGGACGAGTCAACTTTACCTGGCAATGAAGCATTATTATTAGCATATGTTCGATTTGTTATGGGCGAAGAAATTCATGAAGAGCTACTATTCGCAAAACTTTGAAGACGGACACTAAAGGTAAATCAATTTTTAATGTTTTGAGTGATTTTTTTAAAGAAAAATCGATTTCATTCACAAACGTTATTTCGGTGGCAACAGATGGAGCTCCTGCCATGGTCGGGCGATATCGTTGGTTTATAAGCAATCTTAAAAGAATTATACCAGAGGTAATTACGATTCACTGTGTTATCCACCGACAACATCTAGTAGCGAAAAATTTAAGTGATAAATTGCACCAATCGCTTAAATTTGTGAATAATGCAGTTAACAAAATAAGAAGCAATGCATTGAATACGCGTTTATTTGCACAATTGTGCGATGAAAATGATGAAGACTTCCAACGATTGCTGTTACATACCGAAGTACGCTGGTTGTCGAAAGGTGCATGTTTATCAAGATTTTATTTACTTTTTGAATCAGTTTTAGAGTTTTTGGAAAGTAAAGATCCTTATTTAAAAAAAAACTTGATTAATTTGACAGATTTGTTCAAAAATTTAATGACCTCAATTTACAATTACAAGGGGACAGCCTCAATTTAATAAAAACAAAGAGTGTAATTTCAGCTTTTCTTGGTAAATTGAAATTTATGAAGGAAAATATTGGTCGGCGCGAATTTTCACAGTTTTCAAACTTGTCGCAGGTAGAATGCCTTGATGAAGATATTCAGACATACGTTCAACATTTGATTGCCCTGCATGATGATTTTAAATTCAGATTTGAAGATATTCTGTCGATGAAAATACCACCGTGGATCATAAATCAATTTGATGAAACGGAAGTGCAGAATGTGATATTACAAGAGGAGCTACTCGAGCTTAGCTTAGCTGAAAGTGACATTTAAAAGAGGGTATCAAAAATTTTGGCTGCAGGCAGAAATACCCGAAAAATGTCCTGGACTGTGGGGAATTGTGCAAAAGCTTCTAATAGCGTTTCCTTCGTCATATCTCGTCGAAATAAGTTTTAGTGCCGTTTACAAAACTCAAGCCAAATATTGATAATTTGCTGTCAATCATTAAAATTATATATTTTTTGTAATTATCATTGTAGAAATTACATTACGTTATAAGTGTTTAATTTTATAT